AATCATCCATATTAAATTGCTTATAATCACTAGCACTAAACTCTTTATATTTATTTTCGGATTTACTCATATTCAATTCGACTCTTAATCACGCATGGTCTGTTATTTTAGGCTCATGAACCACTTGTACCCTAACTCTATTATTAGAAAAAAGTAAGTCTATCATTGTTTGACTGTCCTGCATAACCCTTGTCGGCCTATTAACATACTGTTTCAAATCTATATAAACTATGCATTTTTTAAATCTTTGCAGAGAGAGAGAGAGAGAGAGAGAGATATTCTTAATTTTTTCCAAGTGTATTCTTCTACGGATAAAATTAATAGGTACATATTTGCATTTTTACATGCTTGTTCAAAAATTATCTTTGAAAAAGTCAAATGCAATCTCAAAAATTATAAATGAATAGAGCGTTACAACTAACTTATATCTCATTGTTAGTGAGATATAACTCTGAATTGTACGTTTCGAGTCCTTTGTATTAAAATATAGAATTCAATACTTTACTTTTCAACAACTGCAAAAATCAGTCATTTCGAAAAAGTTATAACTTTATGATGGAGCAGAACTCGACACCAGCTACGAATATACTTGTTTTACGCTTATTTGCTTGCACTTCTCTCTCTCCCTCTCTCTCTCTCTCTCTCTCTCTCTCTCTCTCTCTTTCTCTCTCTCTCTCTCTCTCTCTCTGTCTCTCTCTTTGTCTCTCTCTCGTTCTTTCTATCTTTCCAAGGCAGGTTGGATTTGGAGCAATATGAATATATGGTGGACATTGTCCTTTGTATTAATCCGTCATATTTTTTCATTTCCCGTAAACTAACACAATAGTAATACATTTCTGATACAATAGTTTGCTTATATTACATGTTATATATAGTGTAACATGTAATTTTGTAAAATTTCTATATGTCATAGCAAGGGTATACTAGAATATAAAAATAAAGAAAAGAGAAAAAAAACAATTTTATAAAATTAAATATTTGTATATGTTAATATATATATAAGTATCAGAGAATTTCTAAAATTAAGATATTTTAAAAATAAGTAATAATTATAAAAAAATATCAAACAAATCATTTTGACCCCTTTCATAGTTCTAGTGTTAAAGTTGGCATCTTTTCAATTTTTATAAGTCTTTAAAGTAGTACGACTATCTTAATCAAATTTAATGTGAATTCAATGTGAATGATTTTTACAATAGAGGGGCAAATATTACTATAAAATTACTCACGATATTTCAGAGCATCAGTATGTCGAAAACACGAAAGTAATTTTATAATGTATTAACGTTTTCAAATTTTATCTCAAATATAGGTTTCTATTTTAAATAATTAATTCTATCCTCTAGTTATTTAATTCGGCAAATATATAACATTGTAACGGGGTTTACTTCAATTGTTTACAAGGAATGTTAGCTTACAAGGAAAACCTTTTTTAAGTTTAAATAAATATTTACGGAAAGAGTTCCAGTTTACAGCCAGGAGCGATTCACGATTGAAAATGCTAAATATATACGTCAATACAAATGTATTGTAAAGAAAAATACACAACGCAATAAATATGAAAAGTATACTTCGGATATTATCCGTTTTAATCATGTTACGTATTGAAAAATAAAATTAATTGCCGCCTTAATATAAAAAGCTTCGAATTTATTTAGTCAATTCAATGTTTAATCTTTTTCGGGTTGTTCCGCGAATTATCAATGTTTTATTAAAAAATAATTAGTAAACATGTAAAATGCGATGTTTTATTAAATAGATTTGTGCTTTTACGATACAATAAATGTCTTAGCAAACATGTAAATTTTTGCGTAACATACATAATGTATCTTACTTTTTTCATAATTTTATGATTGAATTAATTTCGAGAATCAAGAAATACAATCCATGATGTATAATTAATACATACATGATGCAACATAATTCAATTTCAATGCAATTTTTATTTTATAAAATTAATAGTTATTTTAAAGTTAAAGTTATTTTTATAAAATCAATAAAAGTTATCATATAATTTAATTCATTAAAATAAAAATTAATTTTTATATATTGCTTAACTTACATATATATATATATGCATCACTTTATATACAATACAGTTACATAATCTATTAGGTAACTGGTCATTACATAAATCTAAAGAAATAATGCACACTACGTTGACGTTTTTTAAAAAGTTCTTGCTATAAATCGGTTTTATGAATATTTCCACTTTTGCTTACTAGCAAAGACCTACAAACGACTAAGCTTGCTTAAAAAATCTACCAGTCCTAATTATTGCAGTCATTTATGATCGAAGTACATTATTAATTATTCAAGGATGTTAAACATCGAAGATCATATCTTCGATGTTGAATTTCCTTGAATAATTAATACCTTGAATCAAGAACAAAATATTGCATTCTTTATATTAGATAAATGTATTGTAAATCTAAGTGTGTTATTTCTACACGCATAAACGTCTAAAAATGACACATTTGACTGAAGCTCGTTCTACATGTTTTGTTGCGTGTTAAATTAATACGTTTAATCGTATTAAATTAAAAGTTAATACGTTTAACCGTGTTAAATGACGTGATTTAAAACGACAAGTAATGTGTAAGAAGAGCTTCAGTTAAAATAACACACTTGCAGTGTGAACATATTACATCGAATTCAATACAGTATTTATTGTGTATAATCAGTGTTTATTTATCACATATTATTTTAATACTTAATTTAATTATACGTGATGCATTACAAGATAGCAATGCAATATTTTCTAAATTGTGTTTTGAACTAGAATTAATACTAACGTTTAAAAATTTTAATTAATATAGTAGAATAAATAAGTTGCTTCAGTACTCAAATCAAAATGTAAATATAAATTTTTAATGCAAATTCTGAGAGTAATAAAATCATAGTTTGAAAGTCAAAACATTTTGTATAAATATTAATTGTTCCTTGGAATTAATTATTTAATATTTGTTAGTAGAGCTTTTCTCTCTGCATTCCCATTCCAAACAGTTTATAACTTAAGTCAAACCTAATTTAATACTAAATTAGAAATAAGTTTGGATTAAATTAGATTTCTTTACGGAAGTGCAAAAACTTTCTCTTCTCCCGCTCAGGTATTTATTTATATATCCAAATATGTAAATAATGTGATATTTATGTTATAGATAAAGTTCAAATTATGAAGTTTAATGAAACACACAAACACACACACACACATTTATATTCCACATATCGTTAACTTTATTGGTTAATAATTACTTTTTTATAAACAATGAACAATAGCTAAAACCTTTAGATTGTTACTCAAGGTTATGACACAATACATATATGTAAAAGTCAAGCTGATCTGTTAATGTTCTGTTAACCCTCGGAGAACACACAGAGTCAATTTGATCCTTACCTCGAGTTTTATCGTAAATATCTTGATACATGTAAATTTTTAGCCAGAAATATTAAAAATAAAAAAAAAATTTTTTTGTAAATTATGTTTTTTTCAAAAAAAATAATACTTTTTGAATTTTTTTAAATATGTAAATAATTCCAACGGCACTTTTTATTTATATCAATTGATTTAACAATGTTCCAAGTACATCTGGAAATTTTTTCAAGCTGATCGCACTCGTCAATTTAAAATGGTAGACAATCAAAGTGTGTGTAAGGTCAGATTGACCCAGAGTGTTCTCCGTGAATGAAAAAAATAGGTGTGTTCTTCGAGGGTTAATAAATAATTATGAATAATTACCATTTAATTTTTCTTTTTTTTCTTTCTTTGAAATCGAAATTTGCAATATTAACAAATTGATTACCTAGAAACATTCATTTGATATACACATCAATTTCTATCTTCTACTTATAATTAGAATTGGCTATTTAAGTTTTCAATTTTTTATTTTAACTAAATCTAACTCGACAAGCATATGGAATAGCTGCACAATTCCAATTTCCTACATCACGAAATTCTCAATGAGATTTATCCAAAAAATTTGCTGTACTACTACTTTTCTACTTAAATTATAAGCGTGGCAACAATTTTTAACTTGTGTTTCACATTTTAGGATTCCAACATATTTCTATAAATACCATTGTCCTTTCCGCACTGAAGGTGACCTTATTTCAGGTCAAAACTTATGACACATCTTTGTTTATATTTATTTACTTAACTTATATTATATGTATAATTAGCACTAATATTTAGCTTAGTTCGCGTTAACCTGTTTTATCTCTTTTATTTTTAATATATTAAACCTTGTATCCCTTGTATCCCACACAGCAAAACTCAACAAATACCTTTGAGAGACCTTCGCAAAGCGTTGTAAAAAAGATCTCACAAATATCTCATATACGTCTTAGATACGTGAAAATATTTGCTATTTTGTCACAAAGACGTTTATGAAAGGTTGTACAGACATCTCCTAGAGATTTTACAACCATTTCTGACATATTTTGCAAAACATTTTGCGTACGTTGTATAGAAGTATCTGGTAATTATTACATTCGCTCAAATAGGATAATTAAAACCGTTAGATAAATGGAAGAAGAAACTATATGTTAAACTACATAATAAATTGTATTTGATCACATAAACAACTTTACAATAACGCATTTATTTACAATTTTATTTATTCTATATTTGAGCCTACCTCTATAAAGTTCTCCCACTTCTCTAAAAAGATCCTACAAAGAGTTATATTAACTTTCAATTTTATTATATTTTACTTTATGTATATTTTTAATCGATATTTAGTCCCGAATTGAAAGATCGCTGACCAAGTTAAAAATAGTTTTATCGTACTTTATTATTTTATATTTAAATGGAGTTGCAAGATTATTTTTAAAATATATAGAAAAATAGATTAATTAAATATTTAATATTATTCCTTTTTTATATTGCTTTATTTTATAATTTAAGTACAATAATAATAATACAATAATATATGAGAATTCGCATTTATCACGCAGCAAAGACATGTGGAAATTCTGTAAAAATATGTTCTTTATGTTAGGCATTTTTCCTAACTGCGCTGCTCCTGTTCATCACCTTCCTGACGATAGCAGGTAACGCTACCATCTGTTTCATCATCATATACTTTAAAAGATTTCGACGCTCCAATTACTTGGTGACCAGCTTGGCGGTGAGCGATTTGTTAGTCGGTGTGGTCGTGATGCCACCAGCTATAATTTATCAAGTATCAGGCGACTGGTACTTCGGTTCTACCTCATGCCACATTTGGCTCAGCGCCGACGTGCTCAACTGCACTGCCAGCATCTTCAATCTCTGCATGGTTTCCATAGATCGGTGAGTTAATTTTAGCGACCAGTCATCGATATCCAAGAGTTTCAGCAAATCACGGACCGGCTTTGGATTTTCACAAAAATTGAAATCGCGCCATAGGTAGTCTCATTGATTAGTTCTCGGATAAATGCTTCAATATTGCAGAATCCCAGTAAGCAAGAAACACCAAGAAACATTTTAACTACATTACAGCAACGTTTTAACATTAATGCAATGTAGTTGAAATGTTTTTTGACGTTTCTTGCTTACTGGGATTTATATCGAATCAATAACGAAATATAACACGCGTGATGCCACGGGAGAACAAAGTGGTACGTGGTTGACCCGCCCTTAACACGTTCACGCCGGTATGACCCATCAGAGAGTAGTATCAGAGTACTATATATATTAAGTATTAGCAAGTTTGGAATAGTCAGATTATTTTATTATTAACCATAAATTATAACTGCATTAAATAAAAGATGTACAATTTTATATGTTGATATTAAAGAGTAAATTTACACAGATATATATTCTCAGATATATATTACAGATAAATATTCTCAACAAAAAGATAAATAAATTAGAGAAAATGCCATTTTTACGGTCCAAACTAGACATTTTGGCCTAATAATAATAATATTGTGTGAATTTTGTATACTTTTTCCAAACTCTCAGTAAACTAGGCGTTAATTTTTTGTCAGTCTTTAAAACACAGTTCTTTGTTGGAACAATAAATCCACATAATCGATTACATAAGTACCTATATATATATATATATATGTGGATTTACTAATAGCGAATTCGAGCGCTTGCACTGGTGCACACTAAGTGCGCACTAAGGCTTGTTTATAATCTATTCTTATATTTAAACTCGCTTAAATACACATTTAAAAACTTTTTAGCCAATAAAACAATCTGTAATATCTATACATGGATGCTGTACAAATCATTTTATAGACTAAGAAATATTTAAGATGATCTGTAAATATAACAATTAATTAAGAACAAGCCTTAAGATTCAACCGGGATGGTAAATGGCATTTTCTCTAATTGATTGTTTATCATATGATCCTGTTTCGCTTAAAGTAAAGTAGAGTCGTCGAGTAAATGCCTTGCTATAACTTTATACTTTTCTCAATAACTAAAATAAATTAAAATCAGCACTTCATAATGTAACTATTTTGATTTTTGAGAAAAAATTTCGGCGTTATGTTGATGAGGGACTAGCTCAACTACCAATTCTATTAATTGTCTTCTTTTTGATGAAGAATACAAAAGTTAAATAGCTTTGTGCCGCCGATGAAAAACATAATAAATTATGCGCTAGTGTAAACGTGTTAAAGAGTCGCTGTCGCTGTCGACGACTTCGGTTAATTAACTCTAGTTAGCCAAACCTCCATTGATTATATAATATTAATAGAACAAGACAAAGCGCGCGCGGATAAACAGCAGGTTGAGCAGTTAAATTAATGCTGACCGAAGTTGATGCAACAAATATTCCCGTAGTATATTAGTGTATTGGTAAAAGCTCGAAGAGTGTAGATACCGCGTGCATCACGTGATATTTATTTTTTATTTTACAAAATATTACAGTATTATTTTTTTAAATTGATTTAGTGTATTTTCGGTTAAATCTGTTTCCTAAAAAAATTTTGAGAAAAATTTAAGTTATTTTTTAATATTATATAGTAAATTATAAAATTATTGAAATAATTTTCTTATTATTTAAATTTTCCGAAATTTTTAATACATGGTTGTGCACCTAAAGATTAAATAATAAGTTTATTTCGGATACAATTGATTAATCTAGTAACATATCCAATCCATTGTTCAACTTCACTTCTACTATACTCCGATCCTGTTCAGGAACGTCATTCGATATGCGGGTTTCAATCTTGAGCTGGGTTTAGTGTACATTATTCTACTTAGAATGCATGCGTGGTACACATTTTTTATATTCCTCTGTTACATAGTAATTCTTTCTCGTTGTATCTCTTTTTTAAATATTGTATGGATATTATATTGTATCTCAGTTACGACTGAAATATTTGCGAGATCAGAGAGCAATACGATAACCGTTTCCTGTTTGTCGGATTCAGACACGCTATTGTTTCTGTGAATAATGTCGCAATGTCTCTCAATCTTTTTTCATTTTTGTTTCCGTTAATTGCTCGACCATAGAAATCTCGACTCTTCGAAGCTTTAACAAGCTCTACTCTATCGGAAGGGTTGTTGATATACGTCGAGAAACACAAAAGCAAACGAGAAAGCAAAAACAAACGACTCGCTGCCGGCGTCGACATTTCTTTCTTTCGTCCACTATAACTATCATATAGAATCTGAAGATTTCGTTAATTTTATTTTTGTGTCAGATTAGCCGGTATATAAATACGCGAGACTTTAGACATTCTCACTTTTCCTTTCTATGTTAAAGATTCTGGTTGATCATGAAACCGTTGAAATATGAAACGAAGAGGACGAAACTACGGATGTCGCTATACATCACCATCATTTGGTCTTTAGCAATGTGCATTAGTCTGCCGCCCCTTTTAACGATGGGAAACGAGTACGTGGAAGTTGAAAATGGACCCACGCTCTGTGCACTTTACCAGCATTTTATTTACCAAATTTACGCCATCGTAGGAAGCTTCTACATTCCGCTGCTCGTCATAATACCAGTCAGTAAGCTAAATAAGTGTACTTAGATTTATTTGTTAGAAATATTTGATATGATTTATATAAAACAAGATTTAAGTTGCCATTTTTTTGCATTTTTTAAAATTAAATCTTTATATATAAATATTGTATTGGTAAAATATTAAATCTTAAAAAATTGATTGTAATTTTAGTTATATATGTAAGTTTATATTACCCATACAAAACTTATCTTTTTCAAAAAAAAGTAACAAGTAAGGTCCAAGTGTACGCGCTCTATTTGTACTTTCTACTACAAAAACAATAGGGGTATTCAAATAAGTTAGAGTTTAATGGTTTGACAGGTTATGTCGAGTTAAAGTCGGGTAAAAAGTTAATTTTTACACTTTTAACCCAAAGATTAATGTGATAGGTTAATGTGTCACTTATGTATTTTGCATAACCTTAAAGAGTAGCGTGCCCAAAGTTAATTAATTAACTTTTTACTCGACTTTAACCCGACATAACCTGTCAAACCGTTAAACTTTAACTTATTTGAATACCCCTAATGATATTAGGAGGTTTAAGCCAAGTGAATATGATAAATTAGTAACATCTGATTTTCTTAAATGTTTCTTTGTTATACTTGTAGAGAGAACGGTTTCTTTGGATTTAATAAATTTTATTAGATTTAAACAAATTTATTTTTTGGAATAGTCGAAACAAACAAATTTTTGATTCAATAAATACGATTGTTTGATTTTTCAAAGAATATATATCTTTGTCTTAAATGAAAAAATTGTTTGAAACAAAAAACATATTTTCTATCGCTTTAATAATACTATTGTTTTATTTAAATATTAATGCTTTATAAAAAATGTCTTAAACATTTATTTATTATTTATTTATTTATATATGATATATGTAGTAGTCGGTTAACTGCTACGTATATAAATAAATAAATAATAAATAATTGTCATATCTCCATCACTCGAGTGACCGGTGTGATTGATCAATGATGTGTACATACAACTGCGAGTGATAGACGCTTTCACCGTGGGACCTTATATACGGTCTCTGGTCGAATTTGACTTACGAGTTTAGCAGCCGCCTAGCGGTGAAAACGCTTATTACATTTATTGTAACCACATAATATATTATTTGTTTGGGAGATATTACTTTAAATAATAGTGTCTTTTCCGTTAAATAATAGAGTTTTCTTGAATAAAAACAAATTTTTTTATTCAAAAACATATTATTTTGTTTAAGCATATGTTGTTTTAATGAAAGCAATCAAACAAATAGGATTACTAAATCTAAAGAAACCGTTCTCTCTGTGTATCTGTTCTTTTTTTATACGTTACATCGTTGTGTTTGTTAGGTGTATGTTATTAAAAGTAATTCATTGCCGTTATTATTTTCATTTTATAATAAAAACGTTATAAAAAACGCGTTACTTTCCAATCTTGCATCCTATTCCAAACATACAGCAAAGAATTGAGAAAAAAATAAAATTATTAAAACTTACACAAAACACACTTGACGTTCCCGGGTCGTATTAACAACTTTAATATCTCCTATAATTATTTTTGTAACATATGTCACACGAGTAGCAGCATAGAAAGGGCACGCCAAGCTTTCAAATAAAGCTTTATTTTCAGAAAAAAACATTGAAAGTTAATTAAATACGCGTGTATTTGACTGATATTTGACGAAATGATTTTTGTTTCAATCTGTATGATTTACTATCAGAATTAATTAATTCAGTTTACTTTTAAGATAAACCAGTAAATTTGTGTGAGACGAAGAATAATTTTATTTTTTACACATTTATTTCTTATTTAATTAAGATATTCTTAAAAATGTTGACCATTCTGTCGTATACAAAATTGTATTCTGCGAATTAAAATAGGATGGATTGTTTAATTCTAAAGTATTCTGTTCTTTTAATTTATTTTTAATGGCAAGAATAATTTTTCTTTTTAATTGTTTAGTTTGTGATCAAAATTTATTTCGGAGAGAAAACTTGGTTTGAAAAAAGTTATTATTTTAACTTATTTTAAACTCTCGAATCATCCCTTTCTTAATTATAGCTGATCTTATACATAGTATACAGAGTATCTATTTGAAAAGTTTTGGTAAATGTCTGGATTAAGGGCGACCTCACCAATTTCAATGACCTTGATATATGTTGTCAAGGTCATGACTCCGAGTGACCTTCAGAAGGTTTTAGCCGTCGCTCGATATTCGTTAAAAAGTTATTAACAAAAAAAGGTTTGGAAAATATAGCAGCTATTTTGAGTATTAGACGGCATAAATGACTAATATATATATCGAAATAATTCACGCATAACGAGGTGCCACATGGGTTTGTGGCGTGCTTTACAAACTCGTTTAAGTAGAAGTGGTATTAAACAAGATAAGTTAGTCGATCATCTGTGTAAATATTTGTGGCGATATACAATAAACGAGCT